ATCAGCAGGTCTGTTCCCCTCACGGAAGATGTGTGTCTGATTCTGCTAGGTTACTTCTTTCTTGTTGTTAGGTTAGTTATCTTTAGGTGCTAGTTTAGTTGTAAATTGAAGACATTAAATTTTATATATCTGTCCATGATCTTGAACGCCCTAATTGAATTATCAAAGTCCATGGATTGCCATTGTGGGCAAGTTCACTCTCAAAGTTCAGGAATTGGTCAACATATGTCCCCCATAGAGTGCAGGGCACAACATTTCCCCTTATTGCAAATTTAAACAAAAAAACTTATTATCATAAATAAGAAAGTATCTATTACATTACATTATTATACATGAATAATAATATGTGGATGTAAGTTTTAATATTACTCTGGATTCATTAGTGAGAATGCTATCATGCGAGTTTGTACTCCTTTGACGTTCTTTATTTGAATTGGATGTATCTCGACCACCATCCCAATGACATCTAAACATGTGTTAAATATGAGTAAAAATATTATTGACCGCCATTTTTATAATGAAAATTCTATAAATAATAATATAAAAATGAATCAGTAATTACCAAATAGCATTGATTCGTCGATCTTCTCAACATCAGTTAGTGTGGTGAACCTCTAAAGTCGAAACGGAAAATTGAAAAGTCACCCTTGTAGCTTATGTGTTCAGTTCTACCATGAATTATTAGTCTGTATTGTGAAATGGTGGATCTATACATTCCAATATTACTCTCAACCTCGTAAATTCGAAATGCATAGATAACACCTTCTTCGAACTCATTGATGTAACTTGGTATGTTTTCCGCTCTTATTATTTCCTGATATTCGACCACCCTGTAAAATAAAAAGATAATATTAGAAATTATGGTGTAATATGAGAATGAAGAATTAATTATAACTTTGATTGTGAATTATACTTCAATGTCATGAAAAGCAATTTCAAAGATGTTCTTGTAGGATGAGTATTCATTAGTCCTTTGAAAAATTCGGACCACTCTTGACTTCAGCATAGGCCTGTTGGTCCTGGTTATTTGCTTGATGTTTCCCCATACTTTTGCCATTTTTCTGGTAGTATGTGAAATGCGAGTGTATGAGATATGTTGTGATCGATGATCTACGTTTGGACGTTCATTTTATAGGCATGTGGTAATAATTGATAATCATTAGATTAATTTAAAATATGAGTTTGAATAAATTCAAAATGTGATGTGATGATAAGATAAGTCCAAATTAATTGAACAATTAATTAATTGGTTTAGTTGTTTAGATTTCTTTTCCATGAAGAAAGATTCACTGAGTAAGAGTAGTAAGAGTATTCTGCACGTCTTCTCGTTAAACGAAATTATGTTGGATAGTAAATTAATTTGTGTACGTGAGATTAATTTAAAATAAATTTGTTAAATTCAAACTGTGAGATTAATTTGTATAATTAATTTGTGTACGTGAGATTAAAATGAATATAAATGAACATTAATTTGCGTACGGGAGATTGAAATGAATATAAATGAGATAAATTTAAAATATGAGTTTGATAAATTCAAACTGTGATGTGATGATAAGATAAGTCCAAATTATTTGGATAGTAAATTAATTTGTTAAGCAGTTGAGATACTTTTGTGTACAAAGGTAACCAAATAATGAAATGACTGAATTTTAGTTAGTATAGCATCCGGCTAAATGTAAATATATTAGTTAATGTTAAATATTAAAGACACTAATATTATTTATTATGGTTTTAAAATATTATTTGATTTAATTCAAATTGTGATTTGATGATAAGTCAACATGAATTGAACAATTACTAGTTAGTATGGCATCAGACTAATATATTAGTTAATAGTTATTATAGCATCAGACTTATCATCAAATTGTAAATTGATGATAAGATAATAATTGATAATCATGTGATTAATATAAAATATGAGTTTGATTAAATTCAAATTGTTATTTGATGGTAAGATAAGTCAAGCTAAATTGAATAATTAATTAAAGTTGTCCATTCGTAACTTATTTGTCTAGAAGTTTGATTAACTTATTTGTCCTCTGTAACTGATTAATTATTTGTTAAAAAGAAATTAACTATTTTTTGTTGAATGGAAATAAGTGAGCGTACCAATTGGTGAAACAGATTTCAAAAGTTTGGAAGCCATGTATTTCGGTTTTATTTTATGGTTGTTACTCATTGTTTTAAAAAGTCTACATATAGTAAGTCAATTGTTTTATTTACTAGGTCAAACTTTCTAAAAATGATTTAAACAACAACCTTTTTATATATAGATAGATGTGAAAACTAAAAATTTATGTGATATTAATATTAAAGAACAAACTAAAATTAATTTCTATTAAAAATAGCAAAAATTTTGTTTGTGGAAATTAATTATTTTTCTTGTCTAATTTTACTCATTTTTATTATTATTAAAAAGAGTAATTAATAAAAATTATAAAATGTAATATTATTTAATCTAAAGTAATGAATGGAGTTTTATACGTTAATTAAAATATGAAAACGAGGTATTTTCGAATAAGAACGAACTTCAACAAATATTGCTCGTTAAAGAAAGAAGTAAAACAAGATTGTTTGGTTTTTAAAAAAAAAATACTTGACAGCCCAAAAAAAAAAAAAAAAAAAAACTAAAGCAATTATTTTAAAACAGAAAGAGTTGCAATTGTTGTCGAAAAAAATAATTGAATGCGTAAAACTTTATTTGAAATAAGAATGAGTTGCAACTTTTAATTTTATTAATACTTTTAAAATATGAAATTATAATATTAAAATTTCCATGACTACATATTTTTCTTTTTTCAAATGCATAATATTTTTTTTATATTCTAATTACACTTTTAATAATTTGAAAGATAAAACTTTATTTTTTCTCTTGCTTCCTTAATTTTTATATTATTTATTTATTTGCAAAATAAATTTTTGGACAACATGTGTTGTCACTTCAAAATAAAAAGTTGCACTATCTAGAAGTGTCTGCCTTTCATGCATTTATCTTATCATGAGATTCCATGATTTTAAACTGTCAATATTGCAAATTTTAGTGTTATATTATTGCATCTATCTTATTATGATAGCATATTATCTTCAATTGTCCACATGTATTTGAATTCCCGGCTATAAAACCATGGGTAGCTTTGTGTAAGTATAAAACATACATCTTTATTATAATGTAGAAGTAGTAATGGATAAAAACCCAATTTTATCAAATTCTAGTATGACTAAGTCTTCCGAGGACGATAGTCCGTCTTCAACAAATTCTCATTATTGTAGGAATATACCTCCCGTTATTTTGCCACTTTACTGCAATGTAATTGCAAACCTAATTTCAAAATTTTCTATATCCAACAAATTCCTTCATTTCCTATATCCCAAACTATAAAAAATCATGTCTACCCTCAACAACAAAATGCGATAAACGTGAATCAATCTCAGTATATGTGGCCAGTGACATGCCTTTTCAACATGATAATTTAATACCAACAACTATAAGTAATGAGTCTACTGGCTCACAAAATCCCCTACCACAGGGCTATAGGTCGAAGGTCTTGACAATATTTGTCTTAATATGGAGTGGTAGACGAACGATGAATGGCGGCTAATGTTGGTGGTCGGCAGCGGTGAGTGGTGGCGAGATGGTCGGATGTTAAATTTTAATTTTCTCATTTTTTAGTTATTTTTATTATGTACATGAACTAGAAATTAAACACAATATAACTTTTTAATGCAACAAATAAATTATAATTAAATCAAAGTAAGGGTATATAGATATTTCGCATGTACGAGGTGTACGAGACAAGATACGAGTCGATCAACATACTTTTTTGCCTGATACATCAAATTATAAGGTGAGACCGAAGATTTTATCAATTTAATGGTGAAATGAGGGAGTACCTATCTAACCCTAGAAGATCCTAGTAAAATAGTCCAAAATTATAAATGTTGTTAGTGAGAACCAATAGTTATACATTCATATTTTTTCAATATACATACGTACTTTCAATTTGAAATACCACACTATAAAAAATAATATAGTAGAATATAATATTTCATATTATATGTATTTTTGTTTTAGAAAAAATAAATATGTTAACCTGCTGGTAGCCTTTCACTAAAAATTGTGTGGTGAAAATATGTACATACACTATAATATAGAAGTTTATTTCTGGTCAATGAAGATTCAAATGTAGATAATTTACAGTAAAAGTTTATAATATTAAAAAGGATAAACACAATTCCACTACATTCGCACTTCATAAGTCGAAACTTTTCCTCTTGTGAAGGATAAACACAAACAAACTGCCAATGGGACCCCAAAAATTGTGGTGTCCTATTCTTTTCACAATTTTTTACAGAGAGCATCCTTTGCCAACCAAAGAGAACTAAAAAACACAACTCTTGTGAAGTATTGTACTTTATAATGACATAACTCACAAGTCCCAAACTCACTTCCCAGGGTGGCCTCTGACATGTTACACCTACTCAATTTTGATATACACATGCACTCAGATAGGTGAAAATACAAACAACAAAACTATGTAAATCAAATACTTAACCAGAGGTTGTATTCTAGGCGGTCTTCTGACCTGTCCTCCCACTTTTTCAGTTGTTGACTGCTGTATATTCAGTCGTTGGCTGCTGTGTATTCGCACATTTGTGCATTTTGATTTATAATATAATCTATCGTTTCGGGGAAAAAAAAAAAAAAAAAACAGAGGTTGTATTTGTTTCAAAAGTTAGCCCTTCATAGATGTTAACTTGCCAAATTAATAGAACTGTTGAATCGCGAGGTAGTTGTAATTCTCTAAGAAAAACTTGTTCAAAAAAGAGAGTCATCTCAGAGGTTGAGTTAGTAATTAACTAATTATCCCTCCAAATATTCTTACTAGCACCATTAAGGTGTAACGTTTTCCCAAGTCCATTACAGGAACAAATGTAGTTCACTTCTGAGCTATTCTGGGCTGTGTTAGTAGCATGCACAGTCCAAAAAAAGGGCAATTATTTTACTCATTCAGGAATGCGTGTAAATTCGGTAGGTTTTCTGTCTGGTAGTTCTGAAGATAATCCAATTACGGACAAGCGAGAAATGTGAACATAGCAACTCTAATTTCATAATTTACTTTGGTAATGCATAATAATGACGAAATGAAAATAAAAGCAAGTAAGATAGTTTAGCATACCAGTTTGGTTGCAGCAACAGACTGCCGTTGCCTCTCTCTCTTCTCTCGTTGGCACTCTCCACACCAGCTCGAAAAGTCCCTCTGATACTTCCTCAGCTCTCTAAAAACCGAGCTGTAGCAAAAAAATCACAGAAACAAGAACTCACATAAAATTAATGTTTTTTTATTCAAAATTGACTTAATGTAATCCTAAACTTTAAATGACATCATTAGTTACAAAACACAAATTGTTATAGAAACTTTAAATAGCCGGCACCGTAATACTTCTAGGTTCACATCACAACCAGTGCACACAACTTAATTCAAGGAAATACAAATTACATTACAGGTTCCTATAAGTAGGCTTAGATAGTTTGGATACTCTATCGATTCAGCACTACTCCTGCGCGGAACAACATTAGGAAAATATTTCATTGCAGCTGAACGAACAGAATCAATTTGGGTTTGGCTAATTGACATCCATTTACACTACCATATTAGAAACTAAAGTCGTATCAAAATGCAAACTCATCACAATGACAACTTCCAAGGCACTGAATCTTTGAAACACAAATTCTCTAGTATTGTGATAAAACAAACAAACAAACAAACAAACTATTGTGATTTTGTACTGGCGGTGGCGGATCCCGGCAAGGAGTGGAAACCCAGATCTACAAAACCCCCTTGTTGGTCAAGGTGGCACTACTGTTGCTGCATAGAATATATACATATATATAGAAAATGGAAGTGTTTTTACCTTCTACACCACAACAATAAGTTGACCCTATTGCCTGCAGTGGTGGCTCTGGCGCCATGCCTATGGCGACCGCGGTGAAGAACTGCACGCCCTGGTGCGTGCGAGTAGTCAAATATCTCCTACAAATCAGCCAATACACAGTCCAATTGATTGATAAATTATAAATAGATTAATTATATAGATGAGCATAATACAAGGAATAATATATTAATGCTTATAACGTGAAAGACTAACAATAAGCAGTCATATCCCAGATAACAATCAATAGATTGGAAAACTATTTCCAGGGGAAAGATGAACAAAATGCAATTAAAACTACGAACCTCTGAGTGGGTTCCCGTGTTTACATGTTTTTCACAACGCACACCACGAAAAAAAAGTTCACCACCAGAGAACTGTTTGCCCAAGCAGACATTCAAGGTAACTTCCGAGTCATCCACATGAAAACCTACAATGTCAAAATTTGTTAAAATCATGACAGCAACTCCCATGTATCATTAACGATGCAAAATTGAGCTCACGAGAAAACTATAAATACATTTTTCAACAGAGGATCAACACAGAAGGAAAATAAGAAATGCATAATCGAGGGACAAGAAAATAGGGTATGGCCACTCACCCAGGTCAAGATCTCTATCCATCCCATACTCAAGGACAAAACCGTGATGTGCATCAATCGTGGAACCACCAACCTCAGCAAAGAAAACTGCAATAGTTGCAGAGGATTAACTAGACATTCACGTGCTTTGAACGAACATACACGCACATATTCTGAACAAAACGGTCACCTCTAGAAAGTGGGCGGATAAAATCCTCCATGAACTTATCAAGCATGGTTTCCATGCCAAAATCATCAAGAACCACGCCGTACTTGTTCATAGTATTGGGCCTCATGACTATGAACTTCGTCTCACTGATCCATTTCTCAAAGTTCTCAACCTAAGCAATCACCAAACGGTAAGAAAAAGAAAAAAAAAATTACTAGAGAGAATAAAATAAAATGTTAAATAATTATTAAAATTATATAAATCACCTCAGCTATCAACATATCACAGAAACGTAGCTGCAGCATCTCAAATGTAAAAATCCCTGGTGAGGGCTCAGTGATTATGTTTCTAAACGCCTGTTCAGTGTTCTCGCTGATTGCCCTGAGAAATGAGTGGCGGAAAATGTCCTCCGCCTGCATAGTATACAGTTCCCTGTGCAAGGGCTGAGAAGAAAATGACAGTTGAACTTTGTTTTAGCCTTTTAGGATAGTGCGGTGCGACATTAAGGAAGTTGCTCTAGCGTTCAAACCATTAACTAAAGGTTTAAATAGGAAACACCACCTGGTAGTTGGATATGATCTTCTGCCTGTACTCCCTGTGCTTCTGAGACTGTTATACCAAAGTAGCCCATAAAGTCTCAATTGCATTGAATAAAAAGAGAATATTTATGTATCACTAAAAATTTCTGTACTCCTGACTTTGCAATGGACAAATTCACTCAAAGAGACAACAGTGGTAACCTGATTTCCAACTCTAAAAACAAATATTGGGTCATGAAAAGGGGGCTAGTAGTATTCATCTGTGCGTGCACAAAGTACACCTCAGAGACAACATGCAAAAATCACACACATAAAAAATGCAGTCCAAGCGGCACACAAGTATAGTTAAACATGCAGAAATCCAACCCACACCAATAACACACTGTCCAAGCTACACTCAAATGCATAGTCTAACATGGTCAAAATATTCACATTGACATGAACAATGATCCTGTACACTACATCATTATCCATCCTACCCTGTTCATTCAATATCTACTATTAATTGCCGTTGCAACTATTGATTCATCTCAGACTACTTAGGTACGAGTTTTCAAGTATTCTAAGTCCTGTTTCTGTTTTCAAAAAATAAAAAAGAAAAAACAATAACTAAAATAGTTGAAAAACATGACATTCAATTCCTGCAAAATATTATCCTTCAGTTTGGAAGCATATTGCACTACACAGAGGATAACAAGCAAAATTCATCAGCAAATCCCCATCTTGCTACCTTGAGAAATTTCAAATAAATATATGAGGATCCGCTCAAATAATTTGTGTATGTGATACCTCTCGCATTGGATATAGTACCTTGCCCAAAAATCCATAAATGAATTACCATTTTCTATCGTATTAAATCTATAGCGCGACCCTTAATACAAAAAAAGCTAGTCCTCAAACTAAACACTCAACATGCAAAATATCCATCATTCAACCAATACATGCAGACTAATCGGAAATCAAGATAAGAGTTTATCGGCATTATACCCTGATGCGATCGCTTTCTGGGTAGTAACGCAGAAGAATGTCACGCATGTAATTAACCTTCACATCGCGCGTCTGGAGGAGAAGATTAGGCGGAAGGTATCGCTCCAGTGAGCTGAAAACCGTCGGGCTGAAATCCAGCTGCAGATCCTCGTAATTATCTGGCTGATGGTCTGCATTAGGGTTCAATCTCAGCCTGTGCGTCGGGTATGTGCTGTGCTGCCCTACGCCGTTAGCGTGCCTCAGATTGGCCCCACCGACTGGATCAGGTCTGCCGTCGATTGATCCCGGTGTAGACGCGCCGTCGTGAGCCATTGGAGAAATGATAGATCCTACCTACCCTAAAATTTGAATTAAAAAGAATGTGGTTTGGGATTTAAATCGGAGTATTCTTTGGCGGATTAAGACTTGGATAATAAAGATGGCGGTGGAGAGGAGGACGATTGAGAAGCTAGGGTTAGGGCTTGGTGTGTGTCTGTGTGTGAAAATCAGGGGCTGCCTGAAACTCGAGGTAATTGTAAAATTATTTTCGGTTATGCTAGCCTACAAGTCTCTTGACATGGTTGGTTGGGTTACAACTTACAAAATGACATAATAATATAAGAATAAAAATATAAAAATCTATAGATAAAAAGTTAATGAAACAATTAATTTTCTCAAATTGAAACCTTCATTTTTCTCAACCCTCATCTCTATTCAACCTACAAATTAGTCGATTTTTTTAAAAAAAAAATGAGAACGACGACAACTTCCTTTCGACAACACTAGCGCGAATAAACTCTACATCATTTCGGTGAAGGGGATCAAGGGTCGCCTCAGTAGGCTTCTTTCTACATGTGTTGGTGATGGGCACGGTTAGGTTGTCGCCGATACGAAGGAGGCAGAGGTTGGGGCCGAGGTGGGCTGGGACTCGGCCTCTGAAGTGGTTGGACAAAAGGAGCAGAGATTTCAAAAGAGGTGAGGTTGGAGAAGAGAGCAGGTGGGATGGGGCCCGAGAGGTGGTCGGAAGACAAGTCTAGGTGGAGCGCGCAAGTCAGTCAGGCGAGTGATGGCTGGGGGTATGGGGCAGAAAAGCAGCAGTTTGAGAGGTTGAGCACCACCACCACCGAAGGCCGATTGTTGTTGCTGCAGGAGACGTCCCTCCAGCGGCAGAAGTTTGGGTGGGTGGTTGAGCGCCCCTCCACAACGGTATCTCGTTAAGACCGATCTCTGTAAGAAGGTTAAACCCGATCTCCGTAAGAAGAAGGGTAAGCCCGATCTCCATAAGAAGGTCATCATCTTCTCACAGGTGCTGAATGGGAAGGATATCTGCTTTCAAGTGATGAATGGTGGAGTCCCCTTGTTTTTGGGCACAAGCGTCTTACTGTCTTTGGCGTCCTTATTCCCGATGTTCAAAGGCATGACGACTGAGTCAAAATCAGAGAACTTGATGTCATCAGATGTCGAGCTTTGGAATGAGGTTTGCTATGTTTGGTTTGGTGGCACTTGCTTTCACAAAGTTTGTGAAAGGCAATGCTCTTGTGTGATTTCATCTCTTGGTGGTATTGTAACAGCTATCAATGTGGTTATGGACAATGTTTTAATATGTGAAACCTGTGTAGAATTTGAACATTGAAATGATTTGTCTCTAGTGGGAAAGCAAATATATATTAACAACCACTGTTAACTCTCTCGACAAGCCTATTCACGAATTAAGTTTGCAAGTGCTATTATAAGCTAAAAACCAGGTAAAACAAGGGATGTGCAAGGAATATCAGCTCGCGACTTGCAACGACTACTTATATTGGCCATAGGCTTGGCCGCACAGTTAAAGAGTTTGAAATGACGGAGGAGTTGCACATTAGAGGTCAGCTTCACCATATGGAGAGGTTCCTCGTTCCACTATTTGATGAGGGCGTCGTACTCTGCGTTGGTTTTGGGGTTTTTGCGTTGATCGGGTAGCTCGTGAAGCCATTCCGGAGAGAAGTCAAAAGTGTTGGGCGGAGGACAGACGAAGTAGTATTTACTTTTCTAGTTATGCACTTTAGATTTAGATTGCTTAAGGAAGCTCGCGCCGTTAACGCTCAACAGATAATATGAGCCCATCAAGGGCTTCTTCCAAAGGCAATAAAAGCAAAGATCGGGGTCGATTCTACCTAAGCAAGCCCAGCAAACCATGATAAAGCCAACAAGGAGTCTGATGGAGTTGGGGGAAAATGGTTTAAGGGCAGGCGATATAGTTTGCTGAGCTCCACCGGGTCATCGGGTAACGGTAACTTTAGCGCAGCCTCGGCTTGGTTAAAAAAAAGGTATAATAGCCAGGGGAAGGTTGGCAGTAGTTATCTCCGGCTTGTGGGATCTTAAAATCTCAACCTCGAGGGAGCTCGACCTCGTGAAGGAGGTTGGTAACTCGGTCAATCGAGTAGGCGGATATGGGATTACATCGCACTACCCTAATAAGGGGAGAAAATCCCTTAGCTTTGGCGCTGACAACCACCGTAACTTGGTTGATCGCACTTGATGGAGCTGGCAGAGCTAGGGTTCACCTAGGGGTTATGAGTTCGAAGGGGAAAGGGTGTTTGAGTTAGTGGGTGCGAGGCAATCTAATAAGAAAAAAGAGGGGGAATAAAAAAAAATAATAATAAGGAATATGAGAGGGAAAATACAAATTTCACACTAAGAACTAAGAAGGCGAAGCACATGAATGATTAGAGGTTGTTAAGTTACATACCCATGAAGTTGTTGGGCATGATGAGCAGTTGGGTATGAGGATGTCGGAATGAATGTGGATGCCGCCAGAGTTGATGAGGAGGGTGCTGGAAAGAGTGCCTGGAATTGCTGTGAATTTCTCGCAAAGGGGAATCTACTGAACAAAGAAGCAGAAGTGATTGTTGGCAATAGGCGGCTTTTATAAAGAGATGAAAGGGTGAGGCCGCACGCTAGGCGTAGGATCGCAGCGACGTGTACGGATGAGATTGAGGGAGATGGATGGACGCTGATGTGAAAGGTCGGCTGATCAGAGCCATCTGTTTCAAATTCGGGTCAATGGCGAGTATAGAAGCATGTAAAGAAAGTTGGATGATATGAAGGTTTTGGTGCCCGAGGACATGCACCCAGCATGATTTTTTAAGGAAGGTGCAGGAGCACGCGCAATGTTAAGCTAAAAGGACAATAAACATTGTTGAACGAGTTGTCTATAGCTCGTTCGAAGAATGAGGGGCTACATGATATAACAAGGCAAAGTAAGCTCGCATAAGACGGTATAGGTTCAGCTCGGCGAGGATAGGTAGCACGGTAGCTCCACTTCAGAAATACTAGGGTAGAGCTAATCTCGATGCCCTCTCTGATGATATCTGAGGTTGTCCCGATAGGAGAGCTTGCGGAGCTCGACAAGAGCCTTTGGCTAGGCTACCCTCTAGGAGAGCTTATATGTGAGGATCTACTAGAGCCTTTAGCTGACTAGTGGAAAGGCCACCTCGGGGTGGGCCGATGAGGGTTGAGACAGTGTGATGACCTCCGTGCACTCATACTTATGAAGTCCCGAGGATGTAGGGACAATACCAAATTAGAGTCGTACAGACGAAGGGAACTGAATCCCTCAAATAGGAGAAGTGTATATCATCAAGGAGACGGACGATGCAGAGAGATTTAGTTGGATGCGGAAAGACTTCTTACCATACCAGGAGTCTTGCTCCTAAAGTAACCCTTATTATATAAAGGTGTCCAGGTTCTTTATTTACACAACATACATACACGCACAAAATACATTATCATCATATTGCTGCTGAACGTGGTCTGACTTGAGCGTCGGAGTGTTTTCGACCGAGACCCCTCCCGGCGTTTTGCAGGTCATCGGAGACGTAAAAGTAGTTCAAGTTGGTAGATTGCGGTTCAACTAGACCGAAGGAGAATTTGCGCAACAAACCCCATTCACGACCGGGTTTAAATCCATTGGAGATTTTTTTTTTTTACAAATCAGAATCACCAAATACAAAAAGAAGAGACGAAGCATAAACAAATTGAGCTAGTTGACGTCCATGGTTTGCATTAGAGATTAGGATAAAGAGGAAGCAGTGGATCCAAACCCAGATGCAGTTCCATTTCTCGAGAATTGAGTTTGGCTCGAGCCAATGCACTTTTGACCAGATGATGGGTCCATACATGTCGTTGCATGGTTACGTACCCAGCACCACTTTTGAAAGCTTACCTCTCTGGTTGATGGGTGGACAATGGTTGCTAAACATAAAAATACTTTTCACCCTCAGTCGGATTGAGCACCTTATTGAAGTGCCTTGTGTATATATCAGATTGAACCGCATCCCCGACCGCCGATTGACCTTGAGTAGGCGAAGTAGCTTCATTAGAGAACTGGAAGCCCTCAAGGATATCTACAAAAGTTTGAAACATGTGTTTGACCTCCTCGGAAATATATTTATCATAGAATTTTATATTTATTTAATTTCATTAAATATTTAATATTTTAATTAAGGAATTTTTTTAAGCATGCGCCTATTATCTATTCTTGCACATAAAATAGTAAATTAAATTATGCACATGCATAATTAAAAGAAATAATAAACTAGGAAATAAATCCAACTATCATTTTGACAATAATTAAGATTCACAATAGTTGTCCTTGTAGAACTGCATGTTTCTTTTGAGACTTGGAATTTCTTTTTTGCTATGACTCCCACTTTCTTTTTGGAACATGCAACCCTTGTCTGACAGCCGTGCTTGCCAAAAAATTTGTCGTCAGAAAAAATTGCACCATTGGATTCGGTCGCTACCAATGTCATGGAGCGTTGTAGTCACCAGGTGCTACAACTACCTTTTGCTTTGGTGGTCGTCCACCACAAGAACTCGACATTTTTGTAACTTAAAAAGAGTTTAAATACTAACAATAATAAAAAAAAAACGTATAAAAATGAAAGAGACGAGACTCAAGAGCTAGAGAATGAGAAAATTGAGGAGATTATAGAAGAAGAAGAAGAAGAAGAAGAAGAAGAAGAAGAAGAAGAAGATGATGATCATGATGATGATGATGATGATGATGATGGTTTGGTGTAAAAACGAAAGCGAATGGGGTATTTATAGGGAAAGAATTCTGTTTTTTTTTTCAATTAACTGCAGGTTTAGGATCGAAGTGACAGTTTCAAACATGTCGGTTCAATCTGTGTCGTTGGTTCTCCAACGATCGATTTAAAAAATCTGATTGTTTGACCCTGAAGGTTCCGATTCTGAGCCCGACGAAAAGAAAAATGAAATAGAAAATTCAAATTTTCAAAATTTCTTTTTCGATGCCAAACCGTCGGGTTAAGTCCAGGAACCAGCGATTCCATTTTTTTGAAAAATGAACTGTAACCGGCCCAGACCAAACACCGTTCAAGTTCACGAACCATGGCCAATAAATAGCCCAGGCTGGTTCCAAAACCGTTGACCACGGGCTGGTCCGGGCCAATTCCAAACCTTGGACAATGTTGCCGAACACCCAAGGGTAGGTATGTAATTTTGAACCATACTGTGAGAGAGAAACGTAACGATGTATGGTTTGGTGGTCAGCAGATCCTTTTAATAGTTAATATCGCCAACCTGCGGACTTACTCACCAAAAGGAGAGAACAACCGATTCCCAATTGTCACTACTCACTTGCATATCTCGTGTCAAAGAAAAAATATTTCTTTATATTCCCATTAACTCTCTCTCCCTTTTTCTCGCTATTGGTGTTGATTAGTGGCGGAGATACAGAGAGATGGCTTGCTCGAGTTTGATTAAACTTAACGCCGCCTCCTCATCGTGGATCGCCGGCCAGAATCCCGTCAATTCGGGCCCTCGATCGGCGCCGCGTCTCAACAAGCGCCGCGTCACTGCCATCCGTGCCGGATCTTACACCGACGAGCTCGTTAAAACGGCTGTAAGCGATTTGCACCTTCATATGTTTACTTTAGTTTATGTATCTTTGAACTGCTGAAAGTGGGTAGGTAGATTCAAAGAAATCGGACAAAGTTTGATTTCTATTTTTTTTTTCTTTCCGTTTCCTAGTGCTGGATCGCAAAAATTATAATTCGTTTCTTGCTCAGTGTTGCTTTTATAATGCTATTTATTTATTCATTGTATGCACATGCATTAGGATTGAGGTATTGGTTTATTTTTACCTCTTGTTACCTGGGCATGAAATTTGTTTCATCGGTTTTGGTTATGTCCTTGTGCCCTTGACTTTGGCATTTTCATTTGCTACCCTCTTTATGTTGTGGCTGAATTTTGATTACAGATATTAAACTACTTTTTGATTGTTTTAGTCCTCTAGACATATCCCAAAATGTTAGAATTCACCTCCTTGAACAAGATTCTGCATTTTACATACTTTAAATTTTACAATTGTCAAATCTCTGCAACATAATCATCTACTGGGCGAATAAATTTTGCCTTGTTTTTTAGCAACTTAGAACGCTAATGTGTTTATTGCTTTCTTTCTGTTGGGACTAGAAATCTATTGCATCTCCAGGTCATGGAATCCTTGCAATAGACGAATCAAATGCGACGTGCGGAAAGAGGTTGGCTTCCATTGGACTTGACAACACCGAAACCAACAGGCAAGCTTATAGGCAGCTTTTGCTTACAACTCCTGGCTTAGGTGATTATATCTCTGGCGCCATTCTCTTTGAGGAGACACTTTACCAGTCAACCACAGACGGGAAGAAGTTTGTGGACTGTTTGCGTGATGAGAACATTGTGCCCGGTATCAAAGTTGATAAGGTAAGCAAATGAAGACAATTTTGTTACAATTTTTATCAGATTACTTTTTGCACGCCTGTTGATTATCAATTTCCTCATGATATTCCGTTTGGTGATTCCCTGTTACGAATTTAACTTATCATGTTTTTTCTCGTCTTTTTTCCCGGCTTATGTTCTTGCATTGACAGGGTTTGGTCCCACTACCAGGGTCGAACAACGAATCTTGGTGCCAGGGATTAGATGGGTTGGCATCTAGGTCTGCTGAATACTATAAGCAAGGGGCTCGTTTTGCCAAATGGTTTGTGACTTTTTTTGTGATATAGGTTTTGAGTTTTGTGATACAATTTCTTTGGTTTTCTTACCATTTTGGATCTGCATATGAATGGCTTAGGAGAACTGTTGTAAGCATACCTTGTGGTCCTTCTGCTCTAGCTGTTAAAGAAGCAGCTTGGGGACTTGCTCGTTATGCCGCAATTTCTCAGGTCCTCACCAAATTTCCACTTCTTTCATTTCAATTTTTAGATTATATGTGACTTTTAGTTTTGTTCTAATAGCCAATGGGAAGTGTTTTGCAGTCATGAAGAAAATGATTGTTCCATGCTGGTCTTGGTAAAAGTGGTTTTAAATTAGAACAAACAGGGGACCTCGTATTTTCTGAACTATGCATGGGGTTTGGCTTTTACATTTATTCACCATCCCCTCTTTCAAGTAAACTTTTGGCTTCTGCTCCAGAAAATATAACTTTTGTTGCTACACTGCTTTAGGAGTGGAAGACAAATTTGTTCTTTACAAAGTTATCGACTTTTTTATGATTCGATCTAGGACAATGGCCTTGTGCCGATTGTGGAACCTGAGATTCTTCTTGATGGAGACCACCCAATTGAGAGGACACTTGAAGTGGCTGAAAAAGTGTGGGCTGAGGTTTTCTACTACCTGGCAGAGAATAATGTTACCTTTGAAGGGATTTTGCTCAAACCAAGCATGGTAACTCCGGGGGCTGAGCACAAAGAGAAGGCTTCTCCAGATACCATTGCTAAATTTACACTCACCATGCTTAGAAGAAGAGTGCCACCTGCAGTGCCAGGAATCATGGTATGGATGCATAGACCCTTTGTTTGTTATATTGCTTGCTTACGTTTTGCCGTTACTTCTGACTCTTGTGTGGTGTATTTGCTTCATTTTAAGCATTATATTTGGGGTTTTATTTTGTTCTTTTAATTTTCCTTTTTCTAATGAAACGATAGAATTGTATTTAAGAACAGACGTTTGGATATTAATTCCCGCGATTTTGAAAAAAGAAGGATCTTGCTTATCTGGAAGTTTGGCAGCACTTGAAAATGGCTTGTCAGCTATTTTTCGCACTAACCGTCCATGTAAACAGTTCTTCTAGTGAAGTTCACAAGCAGCATTAGTTTTTCCTACAAATTTCGAGCTATTCATATAACTTCTCAGCCGTTTATCTTACGACAACTTAAGATCCTGAGTCCTTTCTATATGACAAGTGCACTTTTTTCACTCTATATGTTCTGAATTTGAAACCAAGAATGACCATATACTTGTAAGGTAAACACAAACACTTGGCTTGGTATTTCTAATTTAGAAAGATATCTAAGTTTTATATAGCAAATACCCCACGTTTATCACTCTGACCCATGCTTGTCCTACTTTTCTTTAAACAATATCTATAAAATTTACTACAACTCAGCACCAAAATCTGGTATTGACCATTGATTTTTCCTCCAACCCTTTCATTATTTTGAGTTTAATGCATTCTTAACCTCTCTTGCTCTCTGAATAATCTCTGTTTTCTGGTTTCAGTTCTTGTCTGGGGGACAATCTGAAGCCGAGGCAACACTAAACCTCAACGCAATGAACCAAAGCCCCAACCCATGGCACGTCTCATTCTCCTATGCAAGAGCACTCCAGAACACTGTGCTCAAGACATGGCAAGGCCGCCCAGAAAATGTCGAAGCTGCTCAGAGAGCACTTTTGGTGCGCGCAAAGGCAAACTCGTTGGCACAGCTGGGAAAGTACTCGGCCGAGGGCGAAAGTGAAGAGGCTAAGAAGGGAATGTTTGTCAAGGGATATACTTATTAAGTGAAGTTGTCTTCTGGTTTGGAGTTTGGAGTGTTACTTCTACTGAAAGGACCCCACCTTTGGTTGTTTCACTTAACTCTACTTGTTTTAGTTTAAGTTTTTTTGGTGTTTTTTGAACTGGGGCAATAAATAAGTTATGACGAAAGGAAAGAGAACTAGTTATCCAGATTTTGGTGTGTATGAAGTGTCAAATGTACTAAGTTTGAAGTTTGTGTTTATTTAGTGACACTTGTGACTTTGGTATCTAGTTAAGTGTGTAACTTCGTTTTTGTATCGTATCTGCTTTTTTTGACGTCGATTTTGCCTCCGTTTTTGTGTAATATCAACGTATATATAATTCTCGAATTTCATAAGTTTAAGTGGTAGACTCACACGTTTTGGACTCAATAAACCCACGGGCTTAGTTTTGGGCCCTCGATCAGTGGGCTTGATCAGGCCGGAGTCTAATTTCATTGTTTGACTGTAGCGCATCTAACAAACCTTTTACACACATCAATGTCCCATTTTTCACAACAAAACTGCTGCTTCTAAAACACAAGTTTCCCCAAACACAAANAATCTCCTATAACAAGATTCTCCATTCTTGACTGTAAACCTTCACAACACCCCACTTCACACTCCAACACTCTCAACCGAGTCCTTAAACTCGCACACGCCCTCCCAAACTCCTCTGTAAAACCCTCGATCCTCCTCAACTCCATCTCCATCTCATCGCAAAACTCCGAAATCTTCCCAAAGGCCTCCTTAATTGCCGACATCTCCTGAGGCGGGTAAAGGCACGCCCCAAGCTCGTCCACCTGCACACCAACACCTTTGCACGCCGCCAAAAGCTTCTCCAATGAGTCCGCAAAAGATGCACTGCCCTCACAGTCTGCCCCTCTCACAAGTCTCGTGATCGACCGGATTAATTCCTTGATTACACACAAAATTTCAGAAACTGCCGTAATTGTCAGTTGCGCGGTTTTCATCTCGTCGGGCGAGAGGTCATTGCCAAGATCTTCGTCTTCGTCTTCGTATTTGTCTTCCTCTTCGGGTGCTCTGGTGGTGGGGTCATCAGGGGCAAGCCTAAGCTCATTCATCTCTCGAAGGACATCTTTCATGGTGGCACCAACTTGCGTCATGGCTCGACCGATGGCAGTGACATTTGTGGAAGGCGTTTTCTTGAGGGCGTTGCAAGCATCCCACACGACACCCACAAGGGGCGGGATAGAATGTTTCGGAGCTTTGTTTGGCAATCCTGAAAATTTTTAAACTAAGATATACCACCATTTAAAAAGAAAATCAAGTTAGGAGGTAATTTTGTTGATTTTATGGTGTATTCAATTCGGATTTCAAGTGACATTTTGAGACTTTTAAGATTTGAGATTTTGGAGAAATTATGTTAAATCTTAGGTCTGGAGGTGGGATTTGAAGTGGGATTTCGTATAAGGTTTTTTGTTTAGAAATCCCACCATATCTTAAGAAGTTTTAACAAATCCTAGTCTCAAATAACTTAAATACCTCGAGATTTTGTAAGACTTTAAAATCTCAATTGAAATACCCCAAGACTTTTAAAAGTCTTAACAAATCTAAATTGAATACACTGGGATTTCTAAAGTCTTAAAAAGTCTTTAGAAATCCCAATTGAATACACCCCCCTTAAAATATTTATAAGCTACTATATCTTATTATACAAGTGCAGCTTATAAGATGTTATAAAACAATTAGGTGTGTATTATTGTCAGTTAGGATATTATCAGATCTAAGGAAATAATATTTTTTGTGCATCTTATAAGCTCTTCTATGAAGATACTACCAAACGAATTTTAAGAGTTTACACGATCTTAAAATTTCAACAACTACTAAGATTTTTTGAAGAACTTTTATGAACTCTACCAAACACCCTCTCAGTTTTCGGGATAAATGAACAATGGGATTGCGTGTTCAAGCACATTATGGATCTCTGATACCAAGTTTTACACATGAAGTACGTCATATCACACACACACACACACACACACACACACACACAAGGTACCATATGAAGAGACGGCCTCCTGAAAGAGAATGAAACTGCTGTCGACAACTAGCTTTATAGCCTTATGAATGCAAGAACTGAGGGTGGGTCCCGCTCCTATCATGCTTCCATGGGAGAGTAGAAGGAGTCCTTGCAGCATATTGAAATATGCCGACATGTTTTCTTCAAGAGCCTTTACTCCAGGGGAGTCTCCAGTGTAAAGCATCCCAACTGAACTCCAGACGAAAAATAAATACATTTGAACTCTTAATGATAACTTAAGCTCACAAGGTACACAAAATGATTCCTTGATGGAACAACGGAAAGTGATGTCAAGCCTTTTCTGTTCCTTTTTTAATCCTTTTCTTTAACTGTAACAATGAACTTAAGAAAAGTATATATCTCATGTCTGATGACTCCATCGTGGATTTGGAAGATACGAAATTTGTTGTCATAATACAAATGAAAATTTGATAGGAACAGCAGAAGGCTTGGGTGATGTAATCATTGGCAGACTTCATATGTGTGTCCACCACTATCAAAGGCTCAACTTTCATTGTTGAGAAAATATGAGTAAGGTCCAATAAATCTAATAGTTCAAAGATGCTTGGGAATCAAAGAAAGAACTACCAATACTTGCTCAACAATCACTAACTATAAACTAACCAAAACCTAAATGGAACAGAATAAACTAGGAATTGGAGTTATGACAACTTTCAAAGAAAAAAAGATTTGCATTATAACCAAGCTCGTAGTCTGTGTGTGTGTGTATGTGTGTGTGCGAGAGAAAGAGAGATAAACCTGTTGTGGCTTGTTTGTGGACATTTTCACCCATTTGAATAACATCTTTCCAGCTCACTTTTTCAAGAGACGAGGCCGGCGTTTGATCTAACACCTGCACAAACAATTCATTGAAACTTAGGAAAACACAATTCAACCTCAAACAGAACAAAAATCCCAAATTAATATGTAGCCTAAAACAGTTACTGTCTCAATAAAAATAGCAACATAGATTATTCTAAAAGGGAATAAAACAGACAGAAAGAGGAGGAGGAGGGTATGTATCTCGAAGAACCTGAAAAGTTTCATGTATGATGTTGAGGTGGTTGCTTAACGCTTGAGTAAGCTGCTCCCTCGCTGCTTTTGCCATCTCGGTTACACACGAACTCTGGGGGAAATTTGTTCAACGCTGGTGTTTCAGGGTTTTGTTCCTGTGTTTGTCAAGAGTCCAAAAAAACATTACTATTACACAGAGAAAAATAAATCGAGTCGATTAAGGCCGTGCTTGGATACAAATCAAAACGATATTTGTTTTTTTGTTAATTAGGCTAAATTTTGAAAGAATCAGTGTTGTTAGTTGTTATTTATTTTATAATAAAATAATATTTAAAATAAAATAATTAAAGATGACTTGATGTAAAAATTGTAGATATATAAAATTTGTGGCCAATCAAATGGCGCCACGTAGAAATTAGTTTATTAAAAATCAAGTCATATTTTCTATTTATATTTTAGGAATTTTCATATATTTAATTCCTAATTTTAAATAGTTAATTAATTGATATTTTAATATTTTAATTCTTAACCAATCAAATAATGTCAAGTGTCAAATCTTAATTCTTGGTAATAAATCATATGGCATCTAGAAGATCTTGGAAGATCTAAGTAGATCTAAAAGATCTTATGTGAATCATCATGGACCAATCAAATCGCGTCCTACGATTCTTAAATTTGGTAGGGTTCTCCATCCTACACCTATAAATAGGGGCTCTCCCTAATGTCAAAAACACACATCATATTTCATATTCAAAGTTCAAGAGCTCTAGAGAATTCTCTCGACGAGATTCAAGTGTTCTTGAAGATTCAAAGGCGTTCTTGAAGATTCGAAGCAAGATTCAAGCGCATTCAACCTCAAGACTGGCGTTCAATCCGGAAACAAGCTGCAAAGCCTCCGAATAGCGTTAGTAAATTCAAAACCGGCGTAGAGAAGATTCAAGATCTACTTTGCGACGAAGACCAAGGATTCGTGTTCTTCACGTTCTTGGGATATATCGACGTTTGATCTGAAATCAAGGCGTTGGCCCTCGGATTAACGTTAATTCAAGTCAAATCAAGTCAAGGAGAAGATCAAGCCGAAGATTTCGCTCCAAGACTTAAAATTTTTCGTGAGAAGAATCAGAGGAGAAATTAGAGATTGTAACCCATTATATTTATTTTGATTCAAAAAATTCATTTGAATAATATTTTTCGTGTTTTTAAATTCAATACACGAAATTTGTTGTTACAAATTTTTGGCACGCCCGGTGGGACTTCTCTACCTCTCATCTCTTCTTCAAAATTCCTCAAATCATCATGACTAGCCGCAAGGTCGCCATAGTCAAGATTCCTTCAACAAGTTCTTCAAGCTCCAACCTCGGCGTCGTTACAAGAAGCATGGCCAAGCAACTGCAAGCATCTTCGGAGACGACTCCTTTGCACGAGGTGATTGGAAGAGATAAGCTGCATCTTACCCATGAAGGCGATGAAGACGACTCCGCTTCATCAACTCCTCGCTCATCATCAAGCTCTTCATCAAATTCAAGCTCAAGTGTTGCTCCAGTTATGACAGCTAATGCTTCAACTCTTGAAGAACACATCGCAAGCTTGACAAAGGTTATTGAAGGGCTCGCGAAGAAGGTCCAAGAGCAAGACTCTCAAATCTCAAAGCTAATGGACAAGGTTGACAATGCTGAAACGAGCCGCATGAAGGAAAAACAAGATGAAGATCGTGATGAGTCTGAAACTTCCAAACAGCAGCAATTTCACGAAAGAGAGAAGACTCCAACATTTCAACATTCGTCTGATGGAATGATCCCCATTGATCAACTAAAGGATTTCATCATGGGGACAATTAAAGATAAGCTTGATGGTGGTTCCAAGTCGACTCACACCTACGCCAAGCCGTATACGCCAAGGATCGATAACTTGAGAATGCCTGTTGGATATCAACCACCCAAGTTCCAACAATTTGATGGCAAAGGCAACCCGAAGCAACATATAGCCCACTTTATTGAGACATGCAACGATGCAGGAACCCATGGTGACTATCTCGTGAAGCAGTTTGTTCGTTCACTCAAAGGGGTTGCATTCGACTGGTACACTGATTTGGAAGCAAACTCCATCGATAGTTGGGAGCAAATGGAACACGAAGTTCTTAGTCGCTTCTATAGCACAAGACGTACAGTCAGCATGATCGAGCTCACCACATCTCGACAATGGAAGGAGGAGCCAGTCATCGACTACATCAATAGGTGGAGGAACTTAAGTCTGAACTGCAAGGATCGTCTGTCTGAGGCTTCTGCCATTGAGATGTGCATTCAAGGTATGAGTTGGGGTCTTCGTTATATCCTTCAAGGAATTCGACCAAGAACATTCGAAGAGCTAGCGACTCGAGCCCACGACATGGAACTAAGCATGGCCGCAAGCGGAGCTAATGGGCCACCGATCCAAGAACCCCAAAGCTCTAAAGATAGATACGAGCAAAGGAAAGGGGGCAAGTTTTCCTCGAAACCTCAAAATAAGGAGTCTCTAACGATCAATGCTATGCCTGTCAAGTTTAAAGGAAAAGTTGTTGATAAAGCCGTTGAAAAGAAGGATGTCCCCAAAGAGACTGAACAAAGAAGATTGACTCTGAAAGAAATGCAGGCAAAGCAGTACCCGTTCCTTGATTCAGACGTCTCTGGCATATTTGACGATTTGATCGAAGCAAAACTCATTGAGTTACCTGAGATGAAGCATCCTGAAGAAGCTGACAGGGTGAACGACCCAAAATATTGCAAATACCACCGTCTTGTAGGGCATCCAATTCATGACTGCTTCGTATTCAAGGACAAGGTTATGCAGCTGACACGCCAAGGAAAAATCTCATTAGAAGACAGTAGCGCAACTGCTAATCATATAAGCGAAGTATGCAACATGGCAAATGAGCACGGAGCTCCGCTAGAAGAAAACAATCTGCCTGAGGTTGAAGATCACCATATTGGTCGTGATTCCATGATGGTCTTTACTGATGAAGATCTGCTGCTTGGTCCTAAGCCTCACAATAGACCCTTGTTCGTGACCGGCTATGTGCAAGAGCAAAAGGTTAATCGAATATTGATTGATGGAGGATCAGCAGTCAACATTTTGCCTCTCCGTACGCTGAAAGAGTTAGGAATGACTACTGAATAAATTGGTAATAGTCGATTGATGATTCAAGGCTTTAACCAAGGGGGGCAAAGAGCTCTTGGCATTATAAGGTTGAGTTTGTTGATGGAGGATATGGAATCAATTGCAATGTTCCATGTTATCGACGCAAAAACTTCTTACAACATGCTACTTGGTCGTCCATGGCTTCATGATAATGGCGTGGTTCAGTCAACATGGCATCAATGCTTCAAATATTGCAAGAATGACGTTGTGAAGACTGTTCTTGGTGATGATAAACCTTTTACGGAGGCCGAAACTCATTTCGCTGATGCCAAATACTATTTCAAAGATGAAAAACCAATTGCTAAAGTCCCGTCTAAGCAGCAAAATGGATCCAAAGGTGGAGAACCAAAGATTGAAAAGGTAGAAAACTCTTCGAAAGAGTTAGTGCTGCCACTGCCGAAGATAAATGACGATAAACCTATCTCCCAACCACCTATGAAGTTTGTTCGTCCAAGCAAAGGATCGGTAACGGAGCATGGTGAAGGACTGAAGAATTCAAAGTGTTTTGATCCAAAAGCCTACAAACTTCTCGTCAAAGCAGGATACAACCCCAATGAAAGTCACTCTTTGGGAAATCTCATACCTCAAGAGCAAAAGCACAATCGGGCAGGTGCTGGATATGTGGCACCGAATCCAATTAGAATCGCCATCAAGAGAGCAAACGCCAACCATGTCTCGGAAGGAGAGTTCCCGTCCAATGACGGAGAAAAGAAAGGAAAAAGAGTGTCGGTGTTTCAAAGACTCGGTCCAGTTTAGAAGTATAGGGGCAAACAATCTGTGTTTAAGCGACTTGGATCATCTAAACCGTCAAAACCTTTAAGACAAGAAAGAGGCGCGGGCCCGGCTCCAAAGCTTAGAAGTTGGATTCCGTCACGCATGAAACGTCAAACTACCTTGATCATATCATGTGGGGAAGTTTTTGAGCACATGATCGTTCATACAAGAGTGCAGGACGATGAAGGTGAAGATAGAGAAAGTGTCGCTTCGTCTTACTATGCTTGCGGTACTCTTGCAACTCCTCGAGATGATGAAAGTTCTCTTTACCAAAAGATAGCTTATTTAGTGAGAAAAGGGTATATCACTAGAGTTGATGAAAATCTGCAGACACGATTTGTCGCAGGAAGAAATGGACGTGTGAGACCATGCATCGACTTCAAAACTCCTAGTGAGCCGATCGAAGATATTGCACTTGTGAACCACATCACTATATGCGAGGATACTCTGATAGAAGAGGAAGATGCTGAAGACGCACCTCCCGAGCTTGAAGAAGGTGTTAAGGCCACAGTCGATGAACTAAAAGAAATCAACTTGGGTGATGTTGATGATCCTCGCCCAACATACATTAGCGCCTTGTTAAGTGTAGATGAAGAGAAGGCCTACATAGAGCTTCTTGGTGAGTTTAAGGATGTGTTTGCATGGTCGTACAAAGAGATGCCTGGACTAGACCCGAAGGTGGCGGTGCATAATTTGTCCGTGAGAAAGGGGGTAAAACCTGTTAAACAAGCACAAAGAAGATTTCGTCCCGAGTTGATCCCATTGATTGAAGCAGAAGTGAATAAACTCATTGAAGTTAGTTTCATTCGGGAGGTCAAATATCCTACGTGGATCTCGAGCATCGTTCTTGTCAGGAAGAAAAATGGTCAAATTCGAGTTTGCGTGGATTTTCGAGATCTTAACGAGGCGTGTCCCAAGGATGACTTACCATTGCCTATAACTGAACTCATGATCGATGCTACAACGGGACATGAAGCGTTGTCTTTTATGGACGGATCGTCAGGATACAACCAGATACGCATGTCGCCAAAAGACGAGGAGTTGACGGCATTTCGCACTCCAAAGGGTATATACTGCTATAAGGTAATGCCTTTCGGATTGAAGAACGCTGGAGCTACATATCAAAGGGCAATGCAAAAGATATTCGACGATATACTGCACAAGAACATCGAGTGCTATGTTGATGATGTGGTGGTGAAGTCGAAGAAGCGAGAAGACCACCTCAAAGATTTAAGAATGGTTTTTGAACGCCTGAGAAGATATCAACTCAAAATGAACCCATTGAAGTGTGCATTTGGTGTCAAGTCGGGGAAGTTTCTTGGATTCATTGTCCGTCATAGTGGAATAGAGATTGAGCAAGCAAAAGTCGATGCGATACTAAGAATGCCCGAGCCTCGCAACATTCACGAGCTTAAAAGTCTGCAAGGGAAGTTGGCGTACCTTCGAAGGTTCATCTCAAATTTAGCCGGACGATGCCAACCTTTTAGGGTGTGATTGGATATCATCTAGTACCAAAATTAACTAGTTTTATTCCAGTAAAGTGAATGTCTAAAACTAGAATTTTACTAGTTAAAAGTATTCTCATTCCCATATGGACCACCACTTCTCCCTGCATTGAATAGAGGCATTGTCGGCCACTCACACCAAAAGGCCATACATTAAAATATAGTTGTTGTTAAAAGGCCACTCACACCAAAAGGCCATACATTAAAATATATATATATATATTATATATATATATATATATATATCATGTTTACAAAATTTTCTGCAAGCAAGTAAAAATCATTTTTTAGCAGTGCATCTACCAACCCATTTTTTGAAAACCAAAACCAATTACAGGAAGTAGAACACAACGGCGGTGGGGAATACAATCAAACTAATTTAATAGAAAACACATATATTATATAGATGAAAAGAGGGGAAAAAAAATCAATATCAGAAACTAGAACAAAACGGCAGAAAACACATAAAATACAGAAATTCGTACACCGATAAATTTCACACAGTAGCAAAAAAGAACAGACGGACAACTTCTCATGTAGTAATATATTTCAGTAGAGCTACAATACACAATATTCCTAAAATAACCTTGAATAATAAAAAACAAATTGGTCCAGTCATTTGAAACATTGTGAGATAAGTTTGCGGGGGTGTGTTCGTCATGGAGGTTGTTGTTGCGGTTGACGTTTCTCCAAATCGTTAAACATGATCACGTTCTCTGCTACTTCGTGCTTCGTCTTGCGAATAACCTTGACTATTGAAACTCTCTTGCGAATAACCTTCTCGATTCATGCCGCTTTCCCATATGAAACTTCTAGGGTGTTGTTGCCCGAGTGGGCATCGGTAAAAATACTTACCATAATTCTTTTCGGTATGTGCCATGAATCGCTTCATTGGACCTTCGCTACAATAACACATTGGCGGTTGAGGATACATAATGAACTTGAATATGGTGTGGTGGTAATGACTTTAATGGGCTCCTAGTTATAGAATGTGATATATAAAATTGGGGAAGGTTTTTGAAGTTGTGATTGCATGGTTGCACCAGTCATACAAAAAATATAGCTGTAAAAAGCAACCTTCCTCCCATCTTGGCAGCCTTGCAGTACAATAGTCCCCTTTCCACCTCATATGATGAGACAATAGGGTTTATCATGTACTTGTTTTGCTTTTTTGACCTAATTTTTTATTCTTATTTTTTCGTCTTTTTTGTTTGTCCAGTATTGCGAAATAGTGATGTTGATGTATCAATTTGAGTGGGGGTTGCTCGATCTTTTTTTTTGGCTTCCATTGAATTTTAGCAATAAAAATGTCTTTGAGGAAACTTTTTCAACACCAAAACATGGATAACAAATATTATTTACCTGTAGGAGATAATTTAAAATATTTTCATTTTGGTTGAAATAATTTTAAGTTGTAAAACACATTTTTAACGCGTGATAATTGACAACGAATATAATTGACACTTAACGTACTGAATAAAATAGGCCACACAAAATATGATTACTCGAATTTAGGCAACTTGAGAGAAACTAGTTGAAGATACAAAACATGAAACATACATAAAAGGAGTGTTTTGGATTGGGACATTTTTTTTAAAGTACTTCAATAAACAAATGGCCGCCAATAAATTTAACGTCGAGGCCTTCTGCGACCAGCCATACGACTAGCTTCCGCCACGTAATCATCGAGTAATTGGTCTAGACTCGGTAAGTCTGGGTGGCGCTTTATCAAATCTTCACCCGGGTATTGTTCAAGGATTATTGTGCCGAATGTTGTCTTCAAAGTATCCCAAATTGGTTCTCGACAATTAATATAGTGTTGTGCTAATGGCCAGTGCTACAACACACAATATTTTGGAGACGAAAAAAAATAAAGTTCAATAAGACATAAATGTTGTTTTTATACTTAACTTGTATTGAAATAAAAATAAGTGTGTTTACATGTTTAGCCGTTTCCTTCTGGTTGTCATCGAGGTAGACCTTGTCCATGGTTACGTCGTAAACAACATCGTCTTGTTCTATCAGCCAAGAAAACGTACGGAACCTCTCCTTCAATACCTTGAAGGTGACATAGCATTCCATGAGAGTGACATCGGGAGAAACTTCAATTAGGCACATTTGGTACAACCGGTTGAATGCTTGCTCAATTTGTAACTCATGTGACATGGCCTCCGATCGAATAAGACGTTGTAGTATCATACAGAAACGCTCTTCATAGCACACATTCCATTTGTTTGAAAATCCCTCTAGTATAAATTTGAAGTGTTCAGTCTTTGTGTTTACCTGTGGGAAATTCATGCTTTTGTTGTAATCGTCAAATTGAGAGATTGAACTTGTTTTATGCCCACAAACCAAGACTGTATTTATAAGTGGAGAAGAACCCTTTGATTGGCAATACTATTGCTGGATGGACAATTACTTACGTGGACCCATGCTATCTTTGGGTTTTATCCATGCATTTGTCAAAAAATTGTGGTGATCAAATTGGTCTGCCAATTCTCGGTCCCAGCGTTCATTTTGTAGTTTTGTATTTGTATTTGTTCATCTTCTCGATAATGGTATCTGTAGTGAAAGTGTTCACTCGTAATTCCATTGAACGGCCTCCGCACTATCGCTTCTTGTGGATATCAAGAAACGCACGTAGAACGGGCACGTTTGGTACGTAAAAAATTTCACCCGAATATAATGTAACATACAACAGAATAAATATCGTTTTCATTGTCGGTGTTATTGTAGGCTATTCCTGTTGGGTTCGCCTGTACCGTACGGGTTATACGCAGCGGAAAATTATGTTTCAAAAACAAGTATTTAACATTTAAATACTCAACCCATACGTACATATAGCGAATACACGAATCGTCATCATTAATATAATTCCAATAAATTGTATTTACAAGTAGAATACGTCCAATCTCATTGGAACGCCGGGTATCCTACTCTAACAATTCCTATGAGTTTTTAGAGGTAATATCTGTAAATTATGAAAAGTTTGTAAGAAGTAGTTCCAATAATTTGTGGCCATATTCTCGTTGGTTTATTTCATGTGAGTGGGAAATTGCATTGAGCTGTAATATGTGAAAATTACTCCATGATGTCAGGTGTTCCAATAATTTGAGGCCATCTCATGCAATGTCATTTCGGCGAGGAATCAAGATAAAAAAAATATTAATAAACAGGTGTATGAAAACTATGAAAAGATTTAGAAATAAAATTGTGTGAGCCCCATTTTGCTTTAATCAATATATATATAAACAAAATAAGTTTACATGCCAAATAATTGAGAATCTAGCCAGTTTGATGGCCCACAAGGAAAAGAAAAAGAAAAAATTTTGCAGGGGTGTCGTTCTTGTCTGGAATCCAAAGTTGGGTGTAGTACTGTTATAAAAATAAATTTATTATAACAACATTTTCTTAAAAAATAAATTTATTGTAATCAATGAATTTTGTAGAAAAAAATGCGTGGTAGGCTCTATAAACATACAATTCACCAAAGACAATTTATCTCACAATTAGTTCATTATGGAAACAAATAAAATAGGAAAAGAAAAATTATTTAATATAACATATGTAATTGTCAACTTCATTAAGTTGAATTCATGTTATACATGTTGGAATTTTGAATACATTATATTACAACATGAATTTTTCAGTAGAAAAAAAATATGATGTTGGAATTTATGTTATTGTTTTTCCTCTAGAAAAATAATATTTGCATATTCCATTTGGAAGAGAGACCTAATATAACCAGGGCTTTATTCATATGTTTTTTTTAATATTAAAATAACGATCGTTTTAATTACTACTACATCATAACATAACAGGTTTTCCTTTTTTAAGATTTACAAACTAAAAATTATTAATCTTCATTTTAAAAAACAGATTTTTTTTCCTATTGGTTTTAAATATATCCAGTGTAATTCCGTTGCAAAGATCTATCGGTTTAAATATAGCCAAGTCGACTCCTTATATGTTATACAATTTTACAGTCCTAATAGCAATATATATGATTATCTATTATACATGCAATCTAATAAGATTTATTTTTGTGTGTGGTATAGTCTAAATATAATATAGTTTACCATTAATATATGTCAAAAAGATAAAAATTAAGTTTAAACAAGTCACACCGATAAAATTAAAGTTGTCATATTATTTGGGGTTTCATTAATACAAGCATTGCAATCATTTGTTTCATTAATATAAACCATGTCCTATCTTCGATTTGCCCACAACGCTTGGGCTATGGAGTCGCGCAACGCACATTGCTCAGTGACGGTGACGTTCGAGTTATTAATCGACATAAAGGGTTCAGTCCGATCATTTGGATCATGTCGTGGTACGTAGTCTGAGTTGCTGAATTCTGGCGCCATATTTTCGAGCGGCTCATGCATCCGAATAAAATTGTGTAGAACACAACATGCAATTACTATGTCGGTCTGCGAGTTCACGTTGTAGTTTGGCATCAACCCCTTTATCATAGGAAACTTCCCTTTTAGCAAACCAAAACTGCGTTCGATAACATTACGGACAGTGGCATGTCGTCTATTAAACAACTCACGCGCATTGCCGGACAATTGACTAGACCCCAACCACTCTGGAAGATGATATCTTTCACCACGATAAGGTGTTATGAATCCCGGAATATTTGCGTATCCGGAGTCCACTACATAGTATTTACCTGTACAAACTTAGATTTTTAGTTGTACTATATTGTAACATTCAATGTTAAATAATAATAATAATAACTTAGGAATAGTGTCATGGTTTGAAATACCAGGTGGCGGAAAGGGAAAACGATATGTTGGGTCCGATAATGTATCATTAAAGACCCGTGCGTCGTTAGCGCTGCCTTCCCAGCCCGCTAATACAAAAGTGAACTTCAAGTCGAAATCGCACGCCAACATAACATTTTGCGCTAAATATCCCTTCCTACATCTGTAGGCACCTTGTTGTCCTGCAGGGACCCAAGCTGGTATAATAGTGCCGTCAATTGCCCCAACGCAGTCCTGCATTACCATTTTAATTTTACCGTTACAAATACATTTATGAGATTCACGACATACGAAGTGAAAATTTTTAAAGTTACCTTGAAGTAGGGGTACAAATTCCGATTATTTCTGATCCACGGTGCGACACGATTGAAGTCCGGGGGACGAATGTAGTCTGGTGCCAGATAACAAAGTGCATTGATGACTTTATGACAGTGACGGCTAATCGTCTCCCCTGATTTTCTAAATGATTCTGCCGCATGCCTTTGCCTTTGATGACCTTTAATTGTATGTAGGAAAATAGCTACACTTTCTTCAATGCCTATTTTTTGTTGTCTACTTCGTTTGTGGAATCCCGCACGTTTGATCTCGTCACAAAGAATGCCAAAATGAGATTGTTTTATACCCATTGCATCTTTGAAGCGGCGCGGATTTCCCACTAATAATTCATTTAGCCAATCTAGTCCCGTGTAAGTGGATTCTCGGTAGGGCATTCTTCTTATGGGGGGAAATGCACTCCCCGAACTCTCAAAAATATTGACAAGTTGTTGGAACTGAGCCCCCACCATTAACGATGTTTCGAAGGCCTCATTGTCTTCTACCTCCTCTAAATCACTATCAATGTCTTCGGGCAAATCATCAACCTCTTCCTCATACGTATCACTATCGTCTACGTAAGACATCCTACAAATATTTTAATTTAATAAAATAACTCTAGTACAAATGTTCACATACATAAAATAAGGTTAAGTTTGTAGGAAGTCAACATAGTTAAAAGTGAACCAAGTACGGTGCAAGAGAAATTGAAAATAACAACATCCAACAACATGTAAAAGAGCAATAAAAATGGTCACAATCCCCTTCACTGATCACCAGGGCCCTCATCAATCCACATCTTAATAACATGACGACGCCTCTCGTTGGAAGTAATCGCCGCAAACATTGCTCGATTGGTGGGATCCCGAAACTTCTTGCAGACATATTGAAAAAGTCCTTCGTCCATATCCGGCATTGCTTGAAGACTGCTCATAGCTTGTTCCATTGTGGTTAGCTTCGGGGGTCGGTTGTTCCTTTCTTTAAGAGATACATTCAAGTCGGACCACGAGTACATGGCTGTGTCGAAACTAGAGTCCGTGCCTCTCCTTTGACGAACGCACCGCTTCTGCCTACCATGGCGTCTATCAGACGTCGGGGTCACCATTGGATCTTCATCTTGCTCGGAAAAAAAATCAGGGCTGAAATTTTCAGTTGGCTGACCCCCCATGCTTCGTCCCTTGGGCACCCTTTGAGTCGATGCCCTTGCATTCGACCCCGTAGCCGTCGTCCCGTGAAAAATAGTAGTCAATGCCTCGTAGTGCACGCACGTCCTGTGCTCCATGTCATGATCCTTTGGATTTGCCTATTAATACAGATGGGAGAAAAATGACAATCTTTAATACCAAAGTCGAACTAAGACAAAGCATATCACAGTTTGAAACATGACAAGTTGTCATATTAACTAAAGCATAGGCAANGCAAAAAAAAAAAAAAAACCAATCCCTCCAAAACAAAGCATCAACTTCAGGCCATGTTATAAGTCAAGCAGAGTATTTCCTGAGATCTAAGACATAAAAAGCATTTTCTATGAACGTTTATTAAAAAAACTTACAGTTGTCCAGCATTTCCAAGCCTCCTCGCTGCCCGTAATAACTTTTCTGTCTTCATCCCATGTAAATCCAGTTGCTTTCGTAAGGAGGGTGTGGAACCTTTTCCAATATACTTTCAATCGTTGGTACTTGCTTTGCAGCTGCTTAATTTTGTAAGGGTAGAAGGTTGGACACTGCTCGGTCAACTTCCCAAGAATGGTCGACCATTGATTGGGTGTGAATTTACCGGTTACACAGTTTCCCAACAGAACTTCATCCAACAATATATTCACAAAGGTGGCCTCATTTTCAGGAAGCCATTTCGCGTCTCCTTCATTATTACCAGATGGAGTTCCAATTCCACAGTTACCCGACATCTAGATTTACAAGAAACAACAAAGCAAGTACAATGTGGTATTGCATTCTTCAATTATAGGTATAACCCAACCATATTTGTGTTACAGTGACCAATCATGAACAAAAAAAAAAAAAATCCATCACTTTGTATCATCTCATTAAGAATTACACAAAACACTAGTGTCGATCCAAAGTTTTGTACATATTTTATTCAACCTCATAACACACCAAAAAGTGGTGGCCAATGCCCTATGAATCCACTGTTCTTAAAGCCCCAATTTCATTAAAAGAAAGGTAACCTAATAAAATACCTCTAAAATTGCAGCAATGTCAATAACAACAATTTAAACAATCATAGTAAGATGGCAACTCAACTGAAACACAAATCCTTCGCTGAACACGAACAT